AAAAAGGAAGGAAAACAATGATATATCACAGCACTGCTATCAATATTTTTGAAGGTAGTTATACTGATAATATCAAATGAAATAGCATTTACAACATAAAAGCTGAATATAGTTATTCTACAGCAATGGTTAAGCTGATATTCGCAAGAGAAAGGAAAAGAGTGGTAAATAGTAGAAACAATAAAGACTTCACTAAAAGCTCACTGTATCTACAGTTGAATGTCGACGGTAATGCTGGGATTCCAAATATTTTGGATTAACATGTATGCCATGCGTAGGCCGTGGAGACTCGGAAGCTCTCAAGAGAGTCACATCGGAAGACTGATGGTTTGCAGAAGGAAAAATTTGCAACTGTGCCTCAATCTTTCTAAGTACTGATGTTGGGAACACCGTTGACCAGGTATTAAAAAGACGGCGCATTACAGGATGCATGTTGGGGTGGACCTGTGCATAGGCCTCACGGAAAACCTTTTTGCAATTGCAGTTAAATGAGAAATCATAGACATATTAGAACCATTTAAGGTAAAGGTAACACATAATAACGAGCCTGCGCTACCACCCCACAATTAATTTACTCACCTCAGGCAAGCGGGCAGAGAAATACTTAACATATTCACTGCCAATATTCTTCACAATGCTATCCAAAAGGTATAAAGAAGGCAGTTTTTGCTTAGCTGGAACCTGGAAAAGACCATCATCAGAGAATGAAACATAAGAACACTAAACTTGTGAAGACATTTAAGTCCAATAAAACATTAACCTTCGAACAGATACGCTTCCAAATGTCTAGCTAATACCCTGAAAAGAGGGAAAGCAAGACAGCAATAATAATTGAAATACAACCATTATTACAATAAATATCATAGAAAAGAATTCTTACAGAAACAACTATCTTAGATTTTGCCCAACAATAGGGTCATCGAGGCTATAAAGTGTGCAGATCCAGGTCAGCTAGTAAAAGAGTGACAGTGGCTAATTAATAAACCATCCAGGTCTGCAGCCTTAAAATCAAGCATTCGGTCCTAAACATCACATCCCACACAACAATTTTTAAAAACAATATCAAAGTGGGGGAAATGGGCAGTCCAATTCCATGCTGCCAGATAGTATGACATTTCTCATTCAATAGCCCGTATTGCTTATAATCAACTCAACAAGAAAGAAAAATGAAACAAAAAAGAGAGAGAGAAAAATTCAATCTTATTGCACTTTCAACACTACAACGAGAATAATCAACAACACACTTGAAATGATTAAATCAGAAATTACAAGAACTACAAAACCGGTCTAGAATTCCAAAATACCCCGGATGGTATACCTCAATAATCCTAGAGCATATAGCATCTGCGATGCCCTCACCGTGCGATCTATGCTCTCCTGCAACTATCGTCAGATCAGTGATGATGGGCTTGGAATTGAAGGTGAGCTCCAATAGAACAATCTCATAAAGCCGAACAA